CTACATTCGAGCCAGCCGTGGCAGTCCTATGCCAGAAATCATATTTAAAATGTAATGCCACAAGATTGTCTTTCGAATAAAAAAAAATTCATGTCAATCGAATAATGCATCGTTGTTTTATTGCAATTTAAAGTTCTATACCTCTAAAAAAACACCCGTTATATATTAGGCTTTCCCCCCTTACTGTTTTTTTCTAACTTATATATTTATATGTTTAATTAAACGTTCAGAGAAAAGCAATCGTTTCAATAGCTATCTGTTAATTTTTCTATCATTTATTACTTATAGAAATTTGATTTTAATATATATATATATATATATATATATATATATATATATATATATATATATGTGTGTGTGTGTGTGTGTGTGTGTGTTTCTTTAAAAGGATTATTTCTATTATTTCATTATGAAAAGAATTCTTTGTTAATTATAAAGTACATCGTCTATTATTTTGGATCAAAATACATTTTAGAGACATTTTTAAACTAACTATATGTAACGATTGATTGATTCATGAAAATCTCAAATCTATTTTACTATTTTAGATTCTTAGAAACTAAATATTATTAAAAATGATGAACATTTTTTGTTTCACTCTCAGCATCAGAATAGTTCTTTTTTTTTTTTTTTGCTTCACATTAATAATGTTTTAATTTAAACGCAATTATTTTTTTTCTAAGTCATACATCGAAATTTGAAGCTATATCTTATCTGTGAGAAGGAGGGGAAGATAGAACAATAATTTTACACTTAAAAAAACGTGTTCGGGCTATAGAGAGGGGAAAGAAACCTGTCTTAAATCAAAATAAGTGGAATCGAACAAACTTCGAAAAAGGGAAATTTTTTGACATAATTTTAGAAATCACTCACTTTGTGCGCGTACAAACACACACAGAGAAATGCTGGTGTCATGAGGAAAAGAGAAAGCCCGAGCAACGCCGGGCTAAGCGATGGAGGGTGGTCGTGTGTGGAAGTCGATTTTGAAAAAGAGTATTAGAAGTGCTGATTTTGTGAAGAAAAGGGAGAATTTATAAAAGTAGAGAAAGCCCGTGCAACTCCGGGCTAAGTGGTGGAGGGGGGGGTGGAAGTCATTTTGAAAATGAGTATTAGAAGTTCTGGTTTTTTGAAAGAAAGGGAAAATTTATAAAAGTAGAGATAGTCCGTACAACTCCGGACCATGCAGCTAGTTTTTCATAAAAGAAGAATGTTCTGAAAATATGCCATTTTTTTACATTTTTAGCCAAATAATTGAATTTTTCAAAACTTTTCTTGTAATAGTATTATTAAAATAATTTTATACGTATATTCTAATTTAACTGCCACTGAATATAAAAAAAAATTCGTTTATACGCTTTTTCAAAATCATGGTGCCAAGTGTAGTCAGTCATTTAAAAAACATTTCTTGAATCACAATAAATTTTGAATACCTTTTTAAAATACAATCGCTAAGTTATAGGAATGACATTTAACAAAAAAGAAGTCATGTTTAATAAAACGTGTCCCAGCAAGAAACAAGTAATATATAAATATAAAAAATTTAAGTCAATTCCTACTTACTTAGATCAACAAAGGGGTCATGAATCCTTTTGGGAATTTTACTGTGCACTGACGAAGCCATTTTGTGCAATCAGTTTTGTCAGTTGAGCAATAGAAAATTGATCTTCTTTTACTATAGTCACTTATACCACCCATACCTCATCGAGAGACCACAAATTCCAATTTTTCAGCTGCTAGGTGTTTTAAAGATAATTTTCTTCAATTTGCTTTTCTTTTAGCAATGGGCTTGAAACAAGTAATATTTATATAGAAATTAAGTCAATTCCTACTTAGGTCAATAAAGAAACATTTTATTTTAGTTACTTTTTATTAAATAATTACAATTAATATAAATATGTACATACATATCACAGAATCACAATATTAAGTGGCAAAATAGAAAGCGATTGTTCTTGCAAATTTCCTTTCTATATATGGCTCTTTAGACTTTTACTTTTTTGGTTTTTGTTACTATTTATTCATAAACCACATTCTCAGAAATTAGGCCAATCCAGGTGGGATTCGAACCCACGACCTTTGGATTATAAGTCCTTCGCGCTATCCATTGCGCGACAGAGACACAACGAACTTTTGTCCTTTCTTTATATGCTGTTAGACTATTATTTTTGTTTGGTACTATTTATTCATTTTTTAATTTAATGAATGAATGAATAATTGAAAAAACTGTACTAACATCATGTGTCATCCACTGCAAGTAAAAAAAATTGTTGAACTTAAATGGATGAATAGAAAGTATTTTATTAACGATTGAAAATTTGAACAAGATATATATATAGATAGATTGGGAACTAATAGTGGAATTGAAAAAGAATAACATATGGCTACATAAAAATATCGTATGCATTTTCAAAATGAAGATCATCATCTCAATTCAATGAATAGAAATCTAATTTAAATAATTTATTATAGTCTCTTTTCTGATATCCTTTTTCCAATGGAAGAAGAGCACAGCAGAAATACTACAACATTTTAAATTCTATTCCAGACAAGGCAGCAAAGAAGACGCATTTTTAAAGCCTGCATTCACCCCGTCTTTTAAAGTCTGATTTGATAAGGTCCCGGATGGCAAGGCGTTGAAGCAAAGTAAACAACTTCTCCTAAGTGTCGGGAAGAGGAGATTTTCAATGAAAGTTTACTTTAGGAAATGTTTATCTTTGCATCAAGAATTTGGAACTAAGTGACTCGATTTTGGATTAACGTTACGTATTCGATTCGAAATGTTTTCCAGGAACGTGAGTATTTCCTTATCGGAAGAATTTCGATTAACTTTTTTTTTTGTCAAAAAATGTGATAAATATCAAAAATTGGACTAAGAGAAAATGTGTATAAATCTAAACAATAAATTTCTGTGTATCACACACACACACATTGCTATACTTTACCCTTTACAGATCACCTTAAAACTTTGGTTGAAATAATTTCATTTCCTAATTTATTAATCTATTTGTAACGAAAACTAAATGGATAGCTGAACTCTCTTGAATACTTAATTTTCTGTTTGTTCTTGTTACAAATTTAACTTACATTCATTCTAGAAGGAGCTGAATGTTTCCATTACAAAATTTAAATTTTATTACTTTGAAATTTTTACTTTAAAACGAATTCGAAGAATTTCCACGTCAATTTATAGTGCAAAAACTTAGTTACAATTCCTTTAGGGCTCACAGGACTCTTAACAGATATCCGTGCACTCGAAAAAGACGTCCTTCTTGAAACAAAGTAACTTAGCAAAAAAACGAAACAATAACTTGAAATTTTTACCACATGATAATCATATATATATACAATAATTCTCAAAATTTCAGAGAATTTTAGAAGAAATTTAAGAAGTTATGAATAAATAAAAATTGGACAATTTTTGAAAAATATGAAAATTAGTATTTTACACCGCGCAGGATTCTGAAGTACAAAATTGATCAAAATTTACAACATTAATTTTATTTGGTATAAAATTCTTCACTTTTGAATTTATACTAACTTTTTAGAAATTTAGAGGAAAAAATATTTTTAAATAGAATTATAACGATAATTTTAAAATTTTAAGAAAAAAATTAATTAAAATTCAAATAAAAAAAGTTTCATTAAATTTTTTTTAAAATTGATGTATAAGTTATGAAGAGCTTTATTTTAAATACGTGTATAAAATTTCAAATTGATACCATAAATATAGTTTCTGTGAAATCCTGCGCGGAAACTAAAATTTTTTGTTTTGCGAAGAATGAAGATAAAAATAAGAAAGAGATACGATTTTCGTTTAACTTTCCCTACTTATTTTTCAATAATTTTGGAAGTTTTCACAGTATCAACACAATTTTGGTACCAAAATGCTCAGAAATATTGAGGCTGTAACATATATTTTTTTTAAACATAGAAAAATTTGCAATTCAAGAGCCCTGTGAGCTCTTAAGTCAAACGCAAATGTAAAAATTATAATAACAAACAAAAAAGTAGTTTAGTAGTATAGTGTTTATAACACAATAAGGCAACACTAGCTTCATCGTCCGGCATTTCGCCGGCTTTCTCTACTTTTATAAATTTTCCTTTCCCTTTACAAAATCAGAACTTTCTTAATATTCTATTTCCCAATTCCTACTATTAGTTAAAATTTGCAATCGTTAATAAAATAATTTTTATTCACCCATTCAAGTTCAAATACATTTTTTGGTAAAATCCTAGGAGAGGCCACACCCTTGGCGACAAACTGAAAAAAGCGCCAAGCCAGAACAAGATGGCGCCAAGCGAACTCGACAATGGCGGCAAGGAAATATAGCGGGATAAGGGGTTTGCATAAAGAAAATATATGTAAACAATACCGAAATTAAACATTTAAGATAAAAAATATAAAAACAGCACTTACTTTCTTACTGCTGATCTTTTCCGAGTGGAGGGTACAGCGTAACAACAGATTTTAAAAAATCCTTAAAGGTCTCATCGTTAAGCGAATGATCGTGTGAGCGCCGCCATATTTATTCTGCGAGGTAATTGTCTAACATGCATTCGGCGTGGCTGGTACGATTTCGAAGAAAGCGTTTTATTTCCGACCATGTTACATCATGCCGATCATTACATTTAGGACATTCATAACTAGAAGCATTCAATCCTTCCTTTATACACCATTCAATCAATTCTTTCTTGCCTTTCGCATTCAACAAAGTAAAAAATTCTTAAGTATATTCCCTCACACACGCAGCCAGCCCGGAGCCGAACAACAAAATCAAATTCGAAATGCATGCCCACAAAATACGAAAATGCTAGAAATAGTTAGGGTTGCTATATGTAGTGTTTAAAAGTAGGGTTACCAAGATGGTGCAATTATCGCCAACCAAAGTAATTCGCGCCAAGGGTGTGGGCTCTCCTAGGAGTGAACCAAAAATGAATAAATAGTAAAACACAAAAATAATAGTTCAACAGCATATATAGAAAGGAACGTCGTTTGTTGTGTCCCTGTAACGCAATGGATAGCGTGTTGATCTTCTGAACCAAAGGTTGCGGGTTCGAATCCCACCTGGAATGGTCTAATTTCTGAAAATGTGGTATTTTCTTACTATACTATCTTATTGGAAATAATTAATTTTGATTAATGAATAAATAGTCGCAAACAAACAAAAAATAGTCCAACACCATATATAGAAAGGAAAATTGCTTTCTATTTTGTTGTTTAATATTGTGATTCTGTCATATGTATATACATATTTATATGAATTGTAACTATTTAATAAAAAAAAGTAGCTAAATCAGTAGTATTATTCCTATTTCAGTGTCACAGTTTCATATTTTTATATTTTCTGAACCAGTGGCGTAACGGAGAACTTTTGGCCCCCTTCAAAGTCAGGTTTGGGGCCCCATGTTGAGTTTTACAAAGGGTAGGCACTTGCGTCAGTCAGGCTTTGGGCCCCTTTAGAACTCTGCCCCCCGCGATGCGGGGGTGCACGTTACGCCACTGTTCTGAACTATCATTTTCTTGCTTATCATTGTAGGTACAGTAATTATTTGATACAAAGACTCAAAAGTCAAGCAACTATAAAAATGCTAATAACAAATGAACTCTCTTAGTGTGTAGAGTGAGTGTTTTTATTAACGTCGCAACATGAGGGCTATTGGCGAAGACCTCAAAACAATAACGGACATAATATTGAAATACAAAAACTAATGCGACTTTTTAGAAATCCCAGCACACATACACGTGAATTTGTTTTGAGTTTAATTTAGGCAGTACAGTGAAGCAGCACTAGGTTTATTGGCGACGAACGTAGTAATTGTAATTTTGAACCTCGATCAAGTGACGAGGACGACACCTGATCTGGTACCCCTTCTGACAACCACACCACGCCAATGGGAAGACTTTTAGCCACGACGGATTTAATGTGAATCAGCCCCTCTACATCAGTGCTTCCCAAGGCTTTTTATCACCGCGGACCGACCAACGTTTGATAGTTTTACCACGGCCCGTTTCGGGGGAGGGGGGACGTTGATTGCTTGTATATTAGATTGTTTTGATTTAATGATTTTAATTTTATTATATTTAACTATAACTCCACAATAAAATACAATTACATTAAAAATGAATGTAAAGTTATTTAACATGGAATATAAATTCATTTTCATGGAAAGTTGCCCAAATCCGAGAAAAACATACCACAGTAAATAAAATCGTATAATTTAATGTTCTTTGGGCGGCCCGGAGGTTGGGGACTACTGCTGTAGACGACGAGTTTTCAGCGACACTGGGGCTCGAACTCATGACATGCCGCCCACGAGTTCGGGACCATGAGCACTAGGCTACTGCAGCCCATTAGCAATAGAAAAGTTGTATGAATTGATTGAATATCCGCAAAATATATTTTTTCATTTATATTTATTTTACTCGATCAAAGCATATAAAGTTATTTTTATTTCGTAAAGAAAGAGCGTTAGCTTGTTTTTTTTCTTATGTTTTATTAAAATTCATTTTTATATATAAACAAAAAAAATTTATTCATAATTTATTTTTCATACTTTCATTCAGTGATTTAACGTACACTTCCGCATCGCGAGGAGTGCAGGATTCTAAGGCATCCAAAAAGTTTATGTTTTTAAATCTCTGTAAGATCCGACTTGGGGGCCCCAAACCTAACTTTACAGGGGGCCCCTAGTATTTCCATTACGCCACTGGGTGTGATGGAGAATATTAGCCCTCCCCCAGCAAAGTCAGATTTTGTGCCCCAAGCCACAGTGGCGTAACAGAGAACACTTGGGCCCCCCTGCAAAGTCAGGTTTTGGGCCCCCAAAGTTGGATTTTACAAAGGGTAGGTATTAGGCGATAGTCAGGCTATGGGCCCTCTTGAGCCCTGGGCTCCCCCCGCAATGCGGGGGTGTACGTTACGCCACTGCCAAGCCAGGTCTTACAGAGGGTGCGTACTAGGCGCCAGTCAGATTCTGGGTCCCCTAGAGTCCTGCCCTCTCGCAATGCGGGGGTGTACGTTACGCCACTGCTTTCATTCAACTACAATTTTTTTATTTATATTGATAATTTTATTTTACTTAATCAGGGATAACATGTGTCCTTAATAGGTGAAATTTGCGTTATTTTTTTCAAGTATGTTTGCTGAGTTTTTAGAATGTATTATAGTTTTGTAAATTGCGTGTGTGTGTGTGATGGTTTAATGCACTTTTGCAACCGTTTAGTAGTTTGAATTAGTAATAAAACAACACACTTTATTAATTTTTTTTATTCACACGATATAACCCAAATATGCACTTCAAACTCCCTACCTCGTAATTTTCAGCGTTAAAATTTCCCTTACTCTTTTAAAATTTTCTTATAACTTCATCGTGACAAAATTCAACGGTACTTTGAGAATTTAAAATGAATATTAATTATTTTAATTTAACAAAAAATCTCAGTTCACTTATCTAGAAAAATTGTTCGACAATAAATATGTCACTCATTTTTGAAAATTTGTGGTACTTCAATTGAGAGAAAAAGTTTTTATGATTTTACATAGCGACCCAAAAACAATGCTGTGAATCTTCCAGTGTTTATTTTGCTACAAATGTCTGACCAGAGACACGTGTTAAAAGTATCCCTGACTAACCTGTGTTCTGACGCAACACAACTAAAAAAGAATAATGTTGTACGCATTAAAACCTACATGGATCAACACGTATTCAGGTCACTGGAGAATCGCTTTAAATACTACAACTCATAATAGAAGGATCGCGAGTTGCATGCAAATTAGATCTGTCAACACTTTCGAAACGGCACAGTCATATCGCCGAGACTTGTTGCCACATGTGAGTTATTAATAAATGAATAAAATGGAGGTGGTGCGTTTAAAAATAAATGGGGCAAGAGGTGATTAATTTGTTTGTGTTGGAATGCCTAAAAATATTTAAAGGCTACATAATCATACATAATGCACAAACTAGAAAATTGTTGCCTGAATGGAAAGAATATAATAAATGTATGATACTCTAAATTCAGATGACATCATAGTCACATGATAATTACAATTACGTGACGTTATACTCATATGACGATTGCATATTTGTCAACAAGAACAATGCACATTCATAAACAAAATGATTTGATTTAAAAGTACACGAGTCATATAAGAATCTTTTTTAAATTAAAACATTTTTTTGGAAGAATCTTTAATGCTTTAATATTTTTACCCAATTATCACACACACACAAATTTAAAACTTTATCTATATTTTACAGGTAGAACAACAAGTTCAGATCTAATGTCGAATTCAATGAGGAACACGTGATTGCATTTATCATATGACCATCAAGAATTTAGCCCATTAATTTATTATATAAAGACTTCAAAAGGTGAAATAGTCACTCTCTTTTTTTTTTTTTTGACCAATGCTACCATGGAACTGTAAGAGTGCCATTAAAGGGGAGGGGGATGTTGGCATTATTTCTGTGCTAATTTTTGCATTTTCATTAACTAATATTAGTTGATATTACTTCACATTAACTAATTTCAATGAATTGTATTTTCGTTTCATTCTTCAGCGTTTCAAAATCTACTTTAAGATTCAGATAAGAATAAGAAACGTACAAACAAGGACACTACAGTGCTTTTTAAACGCAGCGTATCCATTTCTTGTTAATTATATATAAAAGTTGACTGTCTAAAATATATGTTTAATTTTAGAAGTTTAATCTTTACGTTTGTAGAGCAGGGGCGGGTAAACTTTTCCAGGGTACGGGATACTCGTAATTTTTTCAAGGTTTTGTGGTTCATCCAGCGGCGTAGGTGTGGTGAGCTAAGAAAAACGGAAATTATTATAGCTACAATATTTATTATAACTTGATAATAAAAACGGAGCTTATTTACATAACTACAATAAAAAAAAACTTACACTTTTAAGACCGCGTTCAAAGCGAAGCGTAAGATATAAACATAATAATATCCACAAATATAATAATAACAAATGAAGCCTTTATTATCACCAATTCAAAATACATTAAAAGATAAAACATTTTTATCTAAAGTTATTTCTCGTTGTTATAGTTAGTAGAAGACTTAGTCTGCATATTGTCAGTCAATCTTGAATACTTCGGTATAAAATCCCTAACTGCTAATCTTCAGGCTGTTCACCCAAAAATGTCTTGGCGATCTACCGGTCGATCGTGATGGACATAACGTTCACACCTGGCGTAAGATATGCTTTATTGTTATCACATCATACTGATGAAAATTCAAGAGTAGATTCATATTAGTACTCAAATGTAAAGGCATTTAACAAGTTTATTTGTATCAAGAAGACTAAGATATCAATAGCAAGAGGTAGTATCTGAAAGTCGCGCGGGGGAAACTGCTTTCTACGTAAATAAATTGTCACCTAAAAACACCAATGCATTATGGGAGATCGAATGTGTATAACACACACGGTGAGACTTCTATATAAATATCTTAAATGCCCCAATCCATTCCCTGATTGAAACGTCTGCTTGTTCAACAATATTTTGATGACTGGAATGTATTTCGGAGCTCCTTTAACGACGAATTTCATCTTAAACTATTTTTAACGGTGTTTAGCATCAAACTTCCAAGTCTTCAAAAAAAAAATGAAATATATTTCTGAGGTAATTGTGACTATTTTATCATTTTTCATCCAACTTAAAAACATTTTTTATGTTTCTCTGTAGAAGCTCAAAGTGTTTACATTACACATATTCTTTAGAGCACAGATTTTTATTTTAGCCTACTTAATACAAATATTACATGACATGCTTAAGGCTTTATAAAAAGAATGTTAAAATTACTTACATGTACAAAAGAAGTTAAAGTCAATTTAAATTATTAGCCTAAATATATGAAATTACAAAATAACGTACTGATGGCGTTATTGGTACAGAAATTCTTTTATGAAGCTTGAAAGCTTGCTTTCTAACAGTATGGTATTTTGACAATAGTTGTTCTTAAACTCTAAGCCCTGGAAATAAAAATATCTTCGTTAGTCCTTAATATTTGAAGGAATGGAAAATGTGTCACCTTGTGTAAAATTTAATTTAAA